AAAAAAAAAAAAAAAAAGAATCCAGTCTCTCCATTCAGCACCTTTTTCTTATTTTATGGGGAATGGCACTGACACCATTTCCTTCTGTTCTCTGCCGCATACACTTTATTAAGCAAGGCAGAACAATAACAACCCTCCCCAAATCTCGGTGAGCCATCTCTCACAAACGTTTTGTCCCGCAGAAGTACAACGGCTCCATGAATTATATTACCTTGTAAGTTTAAGGAAGGAAGGTATTGTTTTAGTCCTGACAAACTTTCTGCCTGGGAACTAACCGAGAAAATTGTTAGGTGTGGGGTTTTCTGCTATTTCACAATTTCTGATTAGGTGCACAGGTAAGCTGAACCAAGAAACGCTGACTCCAAGGCTGTGTATTTTCCATTGTTTCCCCTCATTTTTCAGTGGAGAACCTCAACTATATTTTCATAACTTTTTTTCCAGATGTCTTTAGGGCAGTGGAGGAAAAGTACAGATGCTTATTGAAAGCTACTTTCAAGGAAGAAGATTGAAATAAACAGTGTTTTTTACCAAGTAATTATTGCAGTATAGTTTCATTTCCTCTATTTTATATTTTTAAGCTACATTACGTGCAGTGAAGCAGGTATCCTGGGAATCAAGTTCTGACTTTGGAATAGCTTCTACGCAAAGAATGGTTTGGATAGACTAGGACTGTTTTGCCCGGTTAGAATTGGGTCAGATTTGGTAGAGTAAATGACACGGAGAGTGTAAATAATCTGTTCATCTCCCAGTAGAAGAACTTGGAAGGGAGCATCAGATGAAGAAACCTGGGTCAGAACATGCAGAAAAGGGGGTTTCCTCAAAGTGTGGGTCTAAATGTACTGGGGCTCCTTGACAGAAGATGATGTAGGTGCAGAATTTCGTGTGAATTTGAGGCGAGATTGAACGAATGTTTGAAAAAGTGCTAAAGAGATCTAAACTGTCCCAAACCAACAAGCCACATCACTTTCAGAAAATCATCTGCGCTCAGAGCAGTTGGAGTTTGGGAGAACTCTTGGCAAAAGCGTTGTGCTGGGGTACAGCGAAAGGCATTTTTATAACAAAGACGATAACTTTATAAAGTTTGGGGTAGGAGTGTGATTTTCCAAATACATCTGCGCTGCATCCTTGCCCAGGTAAAGACAGCAAGACAGCTTCATCTCCAGATATTTCACGCCGTGTATTTCAAACTTTGATGATTTTCCCCAGCAAGTTTCTTTCCTTTTTTTTTTTTTTTTTTTTTTTTCCCTGTGATTATCTGCGTCAGAGAAAGATAATCTTACTTTTCACCTTCTTTCAAACTTGGTTTCACTGACAGTGAAGGAGGGTGAAGGAGGGTTACCTGACACCTGTGTTGATGGAGTGTTGCACAGGGGCACGAAAACCCCTGGGCTGACTCACACGATCATTCCTCTAGTTTAGGGATGAGACCTTTGGCAGTGGTAAATGCACAATGTTTTGGAAGAAGGTATGAAAACCTGACAGTTGTTTTGGGAGTTTCTCTTTCTTGCCACATAGACTTAAGGATCAAGGCTTGAAATACATAATGATATTATTTTCTCATGAGTTTAGCTCGCATTATCTAATCTAGCAGCTGCTGAATTAATCAAGCCTTTATAAAATCCAAATACATCATTTTGGTATTGATAAACTGGAGGAGGGATGAGGATGTGCACCTTATTTGGCATATCCAGAGAGTCTGAAACATCAGTTGTTCTTATTTGGAGACTTATTTCTCTGACAAAACCTAAACATTTTCTCAAGTTTGTCCTGAATGACCCAGGTTATCCTGAATCCAATGTCAGTTCTTACCAGAGCCACAGTTTTTGTTGATTATTTTGTAAGTTTTCACAGGGTAAAGTGATTTTCATGCAGTATTGATCTAGTTTGAACTGTGCATTTGTTTGATCAAAGCTGGAAGTAAATCTCAGATTTTTTTTTTTGCCACCTGTCACATTCCTGGTATTAAAGAAACTTTTATTCCTGTCAATGAATCCAGTGACAAACCTGGACAGACATGTCAGGTCCCCCAGCTGACTGGGAACAAAAGGGCATTCTGGGCATTCAGCACTACAAAATTTGTTGGGAGGGACAGAAAAATAAATCATACAAAGGTCTGAGGTAATAGGTACAAATAAAAATATATGATATCTTGTGCCTTCTGTGCATTGGGATCATTATGCCTCAGGTATTCTGTGTGGTGTGTAACGGAGTCAGCAGTTGTAGGGTCAGGCAGTGGGAAAGCCGTTGTGATTGATGCACCGGGCCAAACTCTGACCCATCCTGAGCCTTTCTATTTCATTTAGTGTGACCCAGTTTGGTCCACAAGGGTCACTAGCCCTGGGGGGCTGAAGGGGTTGCACAAGAAAAGTCAGTCTTAGATAATTCCTGCCTTGGTTGATGCCTCAGATGTGCAGTTTGGGAAACATCATTTAACCTTGCTGGGCCACGTTCTGCTCAAGAGCACTGGGTTAAATTCAGGGTGACTCCGCTGAAGCCACGTGGCAAAGCCCAACCAGTTACCAGTTAAACATGTCTCCACTGATTGTCCTAGGGCTGAGCTTGGCTCAGGGCTTTCTGAACTTGGACCGGTGCGTGAATGACTCCATGTTCTCTGAGAATGCTGCATTTCAGTCTGGTTCTGTTTGAGGGATGGAGGGATGACTCGGTATGCCTCAGGCAGGACCCCTCAGCACTTCTAGGTCTGGTGTGAATTGTGCCCCTAAAGGGTAGCCCATCAAAGACTGGGTTTTTTTTTTGTTGTCGTTTTTACCTATTTAAATCCCAACAGTGGTTCAGAGAGTAGTGAGAAATGTTCCACAGCTGAGCTAAAGCTGTAGCTTTACCTTAAAAGAAAGCGACCCATTAAAAGGAAGTGAAATTCTGGGATAACAAGCTCTGGGACATGTTATATCTGCTTGGTGTGAGAAACAGTATGTTGCCTGGAGGAAATATGACTCTCTCTTATTTGTGTTCAGAAAAGTGGGGAAATGTCCAGGTTTCCGTTTAATCAAAGCTTAATATGAACTAGTTTTTGGGTTTTGGTTTTTGGTTTTTTTTTTCCCCTCCTCAAACATTGCATGCAAAGCGGCATTCACTGGCCCTTGAAGTTAATATTACACGTTCTAACAGATGACATTTCATGTGACCTACGCGCACAGAGTGCAGCTGGGATGAGTCAGATTTCTGTGGCTGTGGCTGCCACATCGCCTACATTCTTAAATGAATGCATATCTTTGAAATGAGGGGGGGGAGAACTGATGCTAGAGCATTCATTCAGAAGCAGCGGTAGGATCTGTACCTGCTCTAAAGAGGAACTCATTTCCCTGGAGACACTGATGCTGTGCTTCCTACTCAGAGGCAGTTCCCAATCACACGGTGATGTCAAGGTCAGGTCAGCAGGATAAGGACAGAAAGGATTTCTGGCAGTGTCAGTCAGGGAATCCTAAACAGGGGGGAGCACCGTAAGGGATGCTGTGGCTAGCACATGGATAATCCAGTGTGAAGGAAAACAGAGTTGCAATTTATTATTTAAATCTGACACGCGTTCTTAACTGAACATGACGGAATGGGAGATCTCTTCTGGATTGTTTGGGTACCTACCTTCTACTTAGAGCAAAAAAAGGAGCTTTGACTTTCCTGCTGCAGACTTTCCTGCTCCTTTTTGGGGGTTAGTGGGAGAGAGGTGACAGAAATGTTGTAACTACAGTGAGGTAGAGAACCACAGCTTAGTTTGGGGAACCTTGTGTCTACCAGAACTGGTGAGGTGAGCTTGTCTTAAACCAAACCAGATCAAAACAAGTCCCACCCAACCCCAAATATATGAATTGCTTTGATCTGCCTACCTTCAGATAAGAAGGCTGCATCACTGCAGGCTTCCACAGCTCTCCTTAGAAGAATTTATCCCCATCAGAAGTTTAACATGCTTATCAATAGGCAGGATTGTTTTTCCACAGTGTTAACCTGGCTTCAGAGCAGCATTGCTCTGCTGGGCTGCAGAAATGTGAACTGGCTATGCACCAACACTGTAAAATGTGAGAATTCTCCTGAAAAAAAAAAGCAGGTCTAATTTTACAGGGATATGGAGGGTGAGGAGGGGGTGGTCTTTAGCTGCCATGTTCCATGCCCTGCCTGCACACCCCCTTAGTCAGGCCAAGGTTGTGTCCAGCCCAGAATGTGTGCTACAGATCCTGCCCAGTGCAGTGCTGTGGGCAGGTGCCCGAGGAGCACAGGTATTTCCACAAATAATCTTACTACAGAGCTGTCTCTTACAACGCCCAGACCCACGGTCCCCACAAAAGTATCCTGCCACATCCTGCCCATAGTCCTCAGCATCTTTCACCCTGCTAAGATTTTTACATAAAATTTTACCCGGTGAGCCAAAACCGAAGTAGGCATTCAGGAGACCAAGCCTTAGGGGCAGGCAATAAAGGCAATTAGTCCCTTCAGTAATGAAGTGTCTCCTGATGGCATGGTAGCTTTGCTTCCAACACGGGCTTGCTGTGTTGAAGAGAGCAATGCTTAAATATATTTCCAAAATCTGGGTCGAATTCTGATGAACTTCTGATTGTACTTGGGGAAACAGAAGCAAACTGAAGTGTAGAGTTGTGAAGTGAGCCCTTATCAACCTGGTCAACACTGAAAGCATGTTCCTCACTTGGCCTAGGCAGATAAAGAAATAGGACGGTTTACTTTTTTGAATAATCACTAACACGGACTTCTTGAATTTTCCCAGGAAGGAA